CCGCGGCCTCCCTTGCTGTCGTCCTCGTCGCTGTCATCGCGGTCGGGGCACTGGAAAGCCCACAATGTCGAGCCCAGGTCCCTTTGGTCGACCACCAGGTGCCCCTGGTCGACCACAACTCCCATCGAGCTACCCCCAGGTCGACGGACTGCTCTGTCGGCCTCCCGGTCGAACTAACCCTCCTGGTCGACGGCCCACCCGTCGCCCAGCCCAATCAGCTGCAGGTGTCGAGCTCCCTGGTCGACAGCAGCACCACATCGGTCCCCTGCAGCTCAACGAAGTCCGTCGAGCAGCTCTCCCACTGTGAACGGTCGGCTGCTTCTCCCGTATATCCGACCAAGTCATCGGCGTTGCCCAAGCGAGGGCGGGGCCAACACTCCACTCCCGTTAACACCCTAATCGCCGGAGGCCGACACCGGAGTCAGCCCACACGCATGCTAGCAACAAGTCGGGCTTCTTCTTGGTGAGCAGCTAATACAGCGTCGTCCTCGGCGGCAGCGCCGACCTCTCAAGGCAGTTGCGGACCCAGACGGCCTGCCGCAGAGCGAGGTGCCACCAGTGGTGCTGCACGCCCATGTGCAGCAGCATCGTCCGCACCGACTCCACCTCCATTCTCATCTCTCGCTTCGCCATGCCGTTCTGCTGCGAGGTGTACGGGCAGGTCAGGTCGTGGACGACCCCCTTGCCATTTACGAAGGCGGTAAACTCCTTCCCAAGGAACTCCCCTCCCCGGTCAGAGCGCAGCATCAGCACTGACTTCTTCGTCTGCCACTCAGCCACTGCCAACCACTGCACGAACTCCTGCAGCACATCCGACTTCTTGGCGACCGGCCTCACCCACACGAAGCGGGTCTTGCGGTCCTTCAGCAACAAGAAGTACAAGCTGCCATCCTTGGCAGCCACGCGAAACGGCCTGCACAGGTCGATGTGCACGACGGCCAGCACGTCGTCGGCATCGGAGCCCTGGTCGGGGAAGGTGTGCCGCGCCAGCTTCCCGCCGACGCACAAGACGCACGGTGAGTCGGGGCCGGACGCCAATTTGAGGTCCAACCCAGTGGCGACCTCATGCTTCGCCGAGCTCCGGATGGTGTCCATGCCGACGTGGGCTTGCCTCGCATGCCGCCGGTCCGGCGTGGACTTCGTCGCCAAGACAATCGCCCGCAGGGCCACCACCTCCGTCGAGAACGTCGCCGAGTAGGGACGCAGGTCGGTGCAGAGGACCCGGCCGGTATACGTTGCCTGACCAAGAAAGTCCCCCGCCACCGAAACAAGGAGCATCTCGTCCCCGTCCTCCTGCAGCTTCAGCTGGCCGGCGGACAGCAGGTTTGCCCGCACGCCCGGGACATAGAGGACGTCGGGGATGAGCACCCGCTTCCCGGCCTCCCCTTGCAAGGCGACTGTGCCTCGGCCCTTGACGTCGTGCAGGGCCCCATTGAAGCCGCGCACGTGCTTGACATCGCCGCTTGGCCCTAAGTCGACGAAGGCGTCTTTCGTCCTCATCAGGTGGTGCGAACAGCCGCTGTCGAGCAGGACCGCCGCCGAGTTTGCCTGCACAGCTGCCGCCACCGCCTGGAAATCCTCGCCGGCCTCCGGCGCCAACGAGACGGTCGGATCGACGACGCCGACCAGCGAGCGCGACGCCTCCTTGGCGTCTCGCTCCTTGCCGCCAGTAGAGGAGTCGGCGTCCTTCGCCGAGGTCGACTTGTTCGATTGCTTCTCCCTGCGCGACTGGTTTCCTCGACGTGGACGACGGCTGGCCGACCTCCCGCGGCCTCCCTTGGCGTCGTCGTCGTCGGTATCACTGCAGTCGGGGCACTCGAAGGAGAGGTGGTCGGGGCTGTGGCATATCCAGCACTCCCGACGTCGACTTCCTCCTCCTCGACCGCCATCCTGGGCCGACTTCCTCTTGTCGGCGTCCTTGGCCGGCCTGCCACCTCCGCTACCACCACCGCCAGACTGCCCGCGCTGTCCCGATCGGCCACCTTGCTTCGCCGGGGCTGCGTAGTTCACTTGCGGCAGGAGCTCCATGGACTGCTCGGCCTCCTGCATCGCCTCGTCCTGCAGGATGTACGAGGTCAGGGAGTCCTCGTTGAGCGTAGCCCGCGTGCTCGGCACCACCGACAGCCGCTTCAGCAGGTTGTAGCTCCTCGAGAGCCCCTTTAGCACGTGCGTGACGTAAGACGTCGCCGAGTACTGCACGCCGACCATCCTCATGGTGAAGCCCATCAGCCCGGCCATCTCCAGCTGAGGCTCGATGGCTTCCTTCCAGGTGAGGATGTCGGGTTGGCCGACCAGCAGGGGGGTGACAGAGATCCTGTCCGGCATAAACTTGAAGTAGCCGTAGCTCGGCGCTATCCCGCCCGCTATCACATGCGTCATCGACGACGGCGGCAATCCGCTTCGTCGACCTCCAACGTCGCCCTGCGAGGAACCTGCAGCCGCAGACGACTGCATCCCTCGCGCCTGAACGCCGCCGGCTTCATCGGCGTGTATCACTTCTCGCTGCTTCGACGTGCCTCCCGCACTGCTGCCGACCTGGTCACTGGCGTGGACGCCCACGTCGACGCCGCCCTCGTTGTGCACCGGTCGAAGAGAAGCAGGCCAAGAAGGGTGCTTCGTCGCCCACACGGCGCGGATGCCAGCCTCGACGACCGCCCAAGGGATGTCCCCGTACTTGCGCGCCTCATGGCGTCTCCTCGAATCCTCCAGCCGTGCCTCTAAGGTGTCTGCAACACCAGTGTCACCTACGCCAACCATGGTGGTGACTAACGCACAGCTGCCGGCCTACGAACAACTTAGGTAAGTGGGACTAAGTCGACTAGACTGAAAACTACGTCGTGGTGCCCTCCACGCTCACCGCACCATATGGAGATAACTAGTACACCGGGAGCTAGACTACGGGCTAGGCACGGGGCAAGAGTGATCTCTGCGTTCGTTCACTTAGTCGTTCTCTAGCACTTGTGCATTCACGGGGCAAAACCGCAAGAGTTTCACTAGCAAAAGTTGAGAACAATGATAGCAACAACATTGGCATCACAAACTACATCACAACAAGGATGCTAGTTGGACGACTGCCTGCGCAGCACGGTCGATCGCGTGCCAGCACGACTTGGTCGACCGCGCTCCAGCAGAGCAAAGTCGCGGCCTGCCAACGTTGCAAGTCCACGGTGTGCCAACGCTGCAGCATGTCGGCTGCACAGCGTAGCACCCGCAGGACAACGGTGCACCTGCTTCGCAGATGTGAGCAGCTGGTTGGTGCGCCACTCCTCGTCACGGGCACAGTACTGACGCCCGGCAGAGTCCACGCCAGCGACTGCGCCCACCAGCCACGTCGACCTCGGGATACCACCCCCAAGGTCGGCCTCGCAGAAACCACCCCGGCGACCTTCGCACACGTCGCCCGGTTATCCCGGTCGACCGGGCAACCTCGCCTGGTCGACCAGCCCAGTCCGTCGCCGACCACCCGTGACCGGCGCCCCCAAGGTCGGCGCCTCCAACCCGGCGCCCTGCTGCTCGACGCCTAGCTGCTCGGCGTCCTGCTACTCGACGCGCTCCATCTCGGCGTCACCAGACTCCCCTGTCCAGGTCGACGTCCCTCCTTCGTCGACCACCAGGTCAGGTCGACCACCAGGTCGATCACCCCAAATTCGGCGCCCAGAAGTCGGCGCTAGTGCAGTGGCCCCCGTGCAGGTCGACCACCCTCGTCGACCAGCTCGCCCACTGCTTCAGGTTGGCTGCTCCCCTCATACCCGACCACTAGATCGGCTCCGCCCAAGCGAGGACGAGGCCACACCAAACTCCCGTTGACATATACTAGGCACCTACCGCTTGCAGACTCTGAGAATACGTGCATGGGCACATGGTCAGGGGTGAATGCGAGGAGGTTGTACTCCACACAGGGACCGACTGACTTGCTTGACTTGTAGGGGAACATTGGGGTAATGCAATAGTCTTGCACACAGCAGCTCACCGCTAGCAGACTCGGAGAATACGTGCCCATGCACGTGGTCGGGAGGGTGAAGGCTGTTAACGGGAGTGAAGTGTTGGCCCCGCCCTCGCTTGGGCAACGCCGACGACTTGGTCGGATGTACGGGAGTAGCAGCCGACCATCCACAGTGGGAGAACTGCTCGACGGGCTTCGTCGAGATGCAGGGGACCGCTGTGGTGTTGCTGTCGACCAGGGAGCTCGACGGGAGCTGTGGTCGACCAGGCGCACCTGGTGGTCGTCCAGGTCGACCGGGTAACCTGCTTGGCGAGTTCTGCAGAGGCACGCGAACTTCGTCGAGGTCGCGATGGCAAAGGCGACTTCGGGTTGGTATCCCGAAGTCGATGTGGCTCATCACGCACAGACAATAGCCGACGGTTGCACAACGGTGCAAGTCTGGCCAATCGTATGCGCGCACCTGTGAGCGTGCGCACTGCTGTCTTCTACGGGGCAACGCCGGACAGCCGCTGTGCCACAGCGTTGGCACACCATCGACTTCCTGTGTTGGCAGGTCGCCTTTCTGCAGTACTGGCGCGGCTCCTCTACGCAACGCTGGCAGACGGTCGACCATGCTGTGCTGTCTGTCGACCAGAATAGCTGCAGAGTTGCTAGGTGCCTGATGTAGTCATTCTTGTCATTGCTTGTTCAACAATTCTGTAACTCTAACTTTGCTAGTAAAAACTCTTGCCAATTTCTCCCGTGATTGTGCAAGCACCAAGGAACCAGGCAAAGCTACGATCACCTCTAGTAGTTCGTGCCAACCCCATAGTCTAGCTCACTGCCGTTGTGGAGTTATCTTCTCAAAGGCGAGGTTGCACTTCACACAAGGGGGTAGTAGTAGAATGGTCATGCACAGCAACGCACAGCAGCTCACCACTAGCAGACTCTGAGAAGACGTGCAAGGGCACGTAGTCTGGGGTGAAAGCGAGGTTGTACTCCACACAGGGATTGATTGGCTTGCTTGACTCGTAGGGACACCTTGGGTTGGGGTGGACTAGACTTGCACTAAACTCACCGCTGGCAGACTCTGAGAAGACGTGCATGGGCACGTGGTCGGGCGTGAATGCGAGGTTGTACTCCATAGGAAGCTCCGCTGCTGCTCCTTCAGGTACCTCCAGACGCATCATAAACTGATTGGGGAGAGGTGACGTGTGGTGGCAAGAAGGGAGGAGAGGGGTGGGAGTGAGTGAAGACGAGAGCAGGCAAGGGGGACTGCTGTGAATGCGAGGTTGTACTCTATCGGGAGCTCTGCTGCTGCCCCCTCGGGTACCTCCAGACGCATCAAAAACTGATGGGGGGAGGAAGGCAGTGGGAGGGTGTGGGACAAAAAGAGCAGGGCGGGAAGCCTTTTGTAATCGCAAGGTTGTACTCCATAGGAAGCTCCGCTGCTGCCCCCTCTGGCACCTCCGGGCACATCATGAAATGGCATGAGGAGGGGGCGGGAAGCAAGGTAGGGGAACAGTAGGAGTGAGAGACGAGAAGCCGAGGGAGGGGAGGGAGGCTGCTGTAAATGCGAGGTTGCACTGTATAGGAATCTCTACTGCTGCCCCTTCTGGTACCTCCAGACGCATCATGAACTGATGGGGGAGGAGGGGTGGGGAAGGAGTAGAATGGGGAGTGAAGGTGGGGGACGGCAGCAAGGAGGTTAGTATTGACTGCTGTAAAAGCGAGGTTGCACTCTATAGGAAGTTCCGCTGCTGCCCCTTCTGGTACCTCCAGACGCATCATGAACTGATGGGGGGAGCGGAGGTGTGGGATGGGATGGGAGGATGGGGAAAAGGCGGGAGGGTTGGGGACGAGGAGAGAGGAGCAGAGCGAAAAGGCGGCTATGAGGGAGAGGCTGTAACATCCATTGGAAGCTCTGCTGCTGACCCCTCCTATGGCACCGTTAGCCGCACCACGAACTGATAGATAGATTACAGTGAAGCGGGGAGAGGGGGGCTGGCAGCGGGAAAGGAGGGAGGGGTAGGGGTGAGGGAAGAGGAGAGCAGGGAGGGAGCTAAGTTGGCAGATACGCTCAGGGGAAGGGGGCGTATCGCGTATATTTGTTTGCAAATATACGAAATACGCTAATACGCCTGGAATTCGCTAAAAAACGTACAGGCAGCCCGCAAAAAAATAATCGGAATCTGAAAAAAAGTCACGACGTTCTGTGAAGTCGCGAATTAGAAGTAGAATTTCAAACATCAAACATCGAGACCAGCACAGATTGGAACTTCAAACTCCAACCCCTACCCCACCCCCAACTACACTCCACCCATCCAACCTCCCCATCCATTCCCAAACCCAACCTTCCACCCCATTCGAATGTCGCGAACCTCATTCATTCCCGCACTTCTCGTCTTACATTCTATCGAGCTCGTCTCCACAAGCGCAGCCTTAGCTTTAGTACCGTAGGATTTCTGTATCTTAGTGTAGAAAGTAGATTTTTGAGACGTCTCAAAAAACTACTTTCTACACGTGGATACTTTCGATTCTTTATTAAGTTATGGTTTTCTCTTCCCCCCTAACACAGGTTTTCTCCCCCTGTCCGGAATTTATTTCCCTGCCCGAACCAGCGAATTTTTGCGTTTTTTTCAAATGGGACATTTAGCGAATAGCGTATCTACGCGTGCGTATTATACGCAAGCATATCATACGAAAAACGCGTATCTGCCAATGTAGGGAGGGAGGAATGCTGCGAATGCGAAGATGCGAGGTTGCGAGGCTATTCGATGTGCTCGATGGATTATGGTTGTACTCCTCTGGGAGCTCCACTGCTGTTCCTTTGGGTACCTCCAGGAGGCAAGGCACATCATGAAGTGATGAAAGGTGAGGGGGGGCGGGGTGTGGAGGCAGCAGCAAGGGAGGGGAGACGTGGGGGACAAGAGCAGTGAGGGCAGGCTGCTGGGATTGCGAGGCTCTGCTGCACAGAAAGCTCTGGCAGCCGTGGGCTTGCAGCGTCGTCGCAGACAACGTTCTAACAGCAAAGCTTACACTCGTACCTGCTCGCACCTGCTCGCACCTGCTCGCAGCAGATTGCACCAGTGGTGCGCTGAAATTTTACTGAAAGCTTGTTTGATTATAGAGCGACACCTGGGCAACAACCCCTCGTTATAGTCACCTGCGTGGCAGCCCCTCCTGGGTGGCGGCCCCCTCGTTATAGTCAACTCACCTGGGTGGCGGCCTGTCCGCCCTGGGGGCGAGCGCGGGGGTCAAACGCCATGCGCACGCGCCCCACCACGCCCACTCCCCCCGCCCCCGCTCCCCCCCCTGGTGGCGGAGGCGTGGGGGGCGCGCCCTGCCCCGCGCCTCCCCCCGCTGCTGCCTCCCCCCCGGGCTTGTCACCCGCCTTGTGCCACCTTTCCGCCACGAACTGTGGCACCTGCAGAGGGAGAAGGGGGGAGTAGAGTAAGAGGGGCGGAAGAGGCGGAAGACGGGGATGAGGTTGGCTTGTCCCCCGCCGTGTGCAATCTATCCGCCACGAACTGAGGTACCTGAGGGCGGGATGGCATGGGTAGTAAGCGGGGCGGGGACGGGACCACGACGGGCTTTGCTTTGTCGTTCGCGATTATTTTCGCACCTTCATCAGCCACACGCCCTGATTGGCTCGCGACAAGTCCAGATCGCCAGCTCCGTCGCCGGCTTTCGCGCTCGCCATGCCGCCTTTTGGTACTAATTAGCAGACAATCGCCGATTCCCCCCCCGCGTCCCTCCTTCCGCCGTTATTAGGCGCCTAAAATCGCGCCGCCCGTTCCTCCGCCTGCGGTCGCGTCGCGTCGCCCCTCCGCCTTCTCCTTCCCCAATTCGACCTTTTTGAGTGGACTAAGATATCGAATCGACCATTTACTTCTCCACGCGAGCCCTCCGGTGAGTCGTTGTCCTTCGCAATGTTAACTAAATCGCCTGGCACAAATACTATGTGAATGTTTCCACTACGCAAACGCAATAGATTGTACACGAGTTTATTCTAGAAGTAATATTTCGGCCGGCCTCCCGTTTGTCGCACTCCAGTCGGCACCCTTATCGGAAAAACAACAGGTGCTGGTGCCTGCGCTCCTCTCACGCGAATCAACCAACGTCCTGCTTCCAGTTAAAGCTCGCGTCTCATATTTACAAACGTTTAACACTTGGTTGGGAAACTACGAACATGATTGGTTCACGAGTGACGAATTTTTTCACGAGCGGAGGAAATATATGGGCGAAGTTGTGAAGAACTGAGGCCAAAACCACACCTCAGGGGCAGGTTTGGATCACGTCCGCACCTTGTAGGACAGGTTTGGCGTGAGTGTACTGTACTTTGTGCGACCAACCCTGACGACGGAAACACCGATTGTGCAAGGGAGAGAAGTGGCAGGGAAAAACGAAGTGCCATCACGCGCACTCCGGCTATACATCCTTACACGTAGTCATAACAATACCACTGCATTAGTAAGCAATCTTCTGTCCAAAGGCGTGAAGAAAGTGAAACATGTAACTGTGGGGAGCAGCAGTAGCGCACCCTCTTGCGTATGCCCGTGATTAGGTTATAGCCGTCACATTCCCGCCACCCTATCGCCGCTTCCCGCCACCCGTCTCCCCTGTTCGCCGCCCAATCTCCCGTGCTCGCCGCCCGATCTCCCCTTCCCGCGGCCCGATCTCCCCTTCCTGCCGCCCGATATCCCCTTCCCGCATCCTCTCGCCTTTCCGCGTAGCCTCCTCTCGCCTCTCCGCGCGGCCTCCTCTCGCCTCTCCGCGCGGCCTCCTCTCGTCTCTCCGCGCGGCCTCCTCTCGCCTCTCCGCGCGGCCTCCTCTCACCTCTCCGCGCGGCCTCCTCTCGCCTCCCCGCGCCGTCTCCTCTCGCCTCCCCGCGCGGCCTCCTCTCGCCTCTCCGCGCGGCCTCCTCTCGCCTCCTCTCGCCACTCCGCGCGGCCTCCTCTCGCCTCTCCGCGCGGCCTCCTCTCGCCTCTCCGCGCGGCCTCCTCTCGCCTCCCCGCGCGGCCTCCTCTCGCCTCTCCGCGCGGCCTCCTCTCCCCTCCCTTTGCCCTCGCTACCCCCTCCCATCGCCATCGCTTCCCCCTCCCGTCGCCCTCGCTTCCCCCTCCCATCGCCCTCGCTTCCCCCTCCCATCGCCCTCGCTTCCCCCTCCCATCGCCCTCGCTTCCCCCTCCCATCGCCCTCGCTTCCCCCTCCCGTCGCCCTCGCTTCCCCCTCCCTTTGCCCTCGCTTCCCCCTCCCATCGCCATCGCTTCCCCCTCCCATCGCCCTTGCTTCCCCCTCCCGTCGCCCTTGCTTCCCCCTCCCGTCGCCCTCGCTTCCCCCGCCCATCGCTAGTCCACTTGCGCCATCTGTCAGCGTGGGGCAGCAGCACCACCAACGCCTCCTCCTCTCACCTCCTTGCCTTCCTCTTCCCCCTCTCCCCCCCAAACCCCCACCCACTCTTCCCCTGCAGTTGCTGGTTCACTTGCGCCATCTGTCAGTGTGGGGCAGCAGCATCACCAACGCCTCTGCGCCGCTGCTCCCTTTTCCCCCACTCCCACCATCCTCTTTCCACCCCCGCCTCTCCCCCTTCGCCTGCAGTCGCTCGTTCACTTGCGCCATCTGTCAGTGTGGGGCAGCAGCATCACCAACGCCTCTGCGCCGCTGCTCCCCTTCCCCCACTCCCACCATCCTCTTTCCACCCCCGCCTCTCCCCCTTCCCCTGCAGTCGCTCGTTCACTTGCGCCATCTGTCAGTGTGGGGCAGCAGCATCACCAACGCCTCTGCGCCGCTGCTCCCTTTTCCCCCACTCCCACCATCCTCTTTCCACCCCCACCTCTCCCCCTTCCCCTGCAGTCGCTCGTTCACTTGCGCCATCTGTCAGTGTGGGGCAGCAGCATCACCAACGCCTCTGCGCCGCTGCTCCCTTTTCCCCCACTCCCACCATCCTCTTTCCACCCCCGCCTCTCCCCCTTCGCCTGCAGTCGCTCGTTCACTTGCGCCATCTGTCAGTGTGGGGCAGCAGCATCACCAACGCCTCTGCGCCGCTGCTCCCTTTCCCCCACTCCCACCATCCTCTTTCCACCCCCGCCTCTCCCCCTTCCCCTGCAGTCGCTCGTTCACTTGCGCCATCTGTCAGTGTGGGGCAGCAGCATCACCAACGCCTCTGCGCCGCTGCTCCCTTTTCCCCCACTCCCACCATCCTCTTTCCACCCCCGCCTCTCCCCCTTCGCCTGCAGTCGCTCGTTCACTTGCGCCATCTGTCAGTGTGGGGCAGCAGCATCACCAACGCCTCTGCGCCGCTGCTCCCTTTCCCCCACTCCCACCATCCTCTTTCCACCCCCGCCTCTCCCCCTTCCCCTGCAGTCGCTCGTTCACTTGCGCCATCTGTCAGTGTGGGGCAGCAGCATCACCAGCGCCTCTGCCTCGCTGCTCCTCGCCTTCCCCCGCCTGCTCTCCGCCAACCTCGCCTGGACTGCCCTCTCCCACCTCCCCGCCCACCCCTCCCTCACCGCCCTCCACCTCTCCCACTGCCCCCTGCTTTCCATTGGCTTCCCTCTCCCCTCCTCCTCATCCTCTCCCTCCGCCTCCTCTCCTTCCTCCTCTCACTCCTCCTCCTCTTCCTCCTTCCCCCTCACTCATCTGGTTCTCTCTGGTGCCTCAATCGCTCCTCCCTCCTCCCTCTTCCCTCCTCACCTCCTCGCCTTCCTCACTCACCTCACCTCGACCCCTCTACTGCTGCTGTCCCTGACGCCCTTCTGTTACACCTCGCCCACTCCCTTCCCCACACTCACCAGCACTGCACTCACCAGCACAGCACTCACCAGCACAGCACTCACCAGCACAGCACTCACCAGCACTGCACTCACCAGCACTGCACTCACCAGCACTGCACTCACCAGCACAGCAATCACCAGCACAGTACTCACCAGCACTGCACTCACCAGCACTGCACTCACCAGCACAGCACTCACCAGCACAGCACTCACCAGCACTGCACTCACCAGCACAGCACTCACCAGCACCACCAGCACAGCACTCACCAGCACTGCACTCACCAGCACTGCACTCACCAGCACAGCACTCACCAGCACTGCACTCACCAGCACTGCACTCACCAGCACTGCACTCACCAGCACTGCACTCACCAGCACAGCACTCACCAGCACAGCACTCACCAGCACTGCACTCACCAGCACAGCACTCACCAGCACTGCACTCACCAGCACTGCACTCACCAGCACAGCACTCACCAGCACTGCACTCACCAGCACTGCACTCACCAGCACTGCACTCACCAGCACTGCACTCACCAGCACTGCAGGGTGGGTGAGTGAGCAGGGAGTGTGAGTGAGCAGGGTGTGTGAGTGAGAAGGGTGACAACTACAGCATTGACTATGGCAATCCCCCCTGTTGGCGCCCACTGCTGCTTCTGTGTCGGAGGTGTGTGGTATGCCACCACTTCCTTGAAGGCTGCTGCTGCCGCCCACAGAGGGCCAGAACAAGGGGGAAAACGGAGGGAAGGAGAAGGGGAAAGGGAGGGAGGGAGAAGGGTGTGAGAGAGGGACGGGTGTGAGAGAGGGATGGGTGTGAGAGAGGGACGGGTGTGAGAGAGGGACGGGTGTGAGAGAAGGACGGAAGTGAGAGAGGGACGGGATTGATTGAGGGAGCGAGAAAGCGCGGTGGCATCGTTCTCGAGTGAGGAGGGTGCGAGAGCAACGGGTGAGAATGCGGGACGACAGTGACTGCGGAACGGGTGGGATTGCTGCGTGCTACGAGGTGAGCGAGGAACGGAGCAGCGAGGAGAGGAACGGAGCAGCGAGGAGAGGAACGGAGCAGCGAGGAGAGGAACGGAGCAGCGAGGAAAGGAACGGAGCAGCGAGGAGAGGAACGGAGCAGCGAGGAGAGGAACGGAGCAGCGAGGAGAGGAACGGAGCAGCGAGGAAAGGAACGGAGCAGCGAGGAGAGGAACGGAGCAGCGAGGAGAGGAACGGAGCAGCGAGGAAAGGAACGGAGCAGCGAGGAGAGGAACGGAGCAGCGAGGAAAGGAACGGAGCAGCGAGGAGAGGAACGGGGCAGCGAGGAAAGGAACGGAGCAGCGAGGAAAGGAACGGAGCAGCGAGGAAAGGAACGGAGCAGCGAGGAGAGGAACGGAGCAGCGAGGAGAGGAACGGAGCAGCGAGGAGAGGAACGGAGCAGCGAGGAGAGGAACGGAGCAGCGAGGAGAGGAACGGAGCAGCGAGGAGAGGAACGGAGCAGCGAGGAGAGGAACGGAGCAGCGAGGAGAGGGGAAGGAGAGGGGGAACTGATGCGGAGCAGAAGGGGAAAGTATGGAAAGCACTGGGGGCATTCATGGGGAGCAAAAGGGGAAAATTTGGGGAGCAAAAGGCATTCTTGGGGAGCAAAAGGGCATTCATGGGGAGCAAAAGGGGTAAATTTGGGGAGCAAAAGGCATTCTTGGGGAGCAAAAGGGCATTCATGGGGAGCAAAAGGCATTCTTCCCCCTCCCTGCTCACCTACCTCCCCCTTATCACAGCACCTCCCTTCCCCCTCTCATCTCACCTCCCAACCACCTCTGACCTCACCTCCCTTTCCACTCCCTAAGCACCTCTCTTCCCCATCTCACATCACTTATTTCCCCCCTGCTAGCACCTCCATCCCCCCTAACTAAGAACCTCTCTTCCTCCTCCGAACTCACACACCTTTCCAACTCCCCTCACCTACCTTCACCGTCTGACCTCTCCTCTCTTCCCCCTCCCTAAGCACATTTTTTCCCCCTCTCACATCACATCCGTTTCCCTTATCTCAACACATCCCCCCCCCCCCCCTCTGAACTCACCTCCCTTCCCCCTCCCACAACACACACACCCTATCATGGCACCTCCATTCCCCCGTCTGACCTCACATCCCTCCCCCATTCCCTCTCATTCCGCCATTTTCCATCATTTCGCCTCTCATTCCGCCATTTTCCACCATTGCGCCTCTCATTCCGCCATTTACCACCATTTCGCCTCTTATTCCGCCATCTACCACCATTCCGCCTCCCCGCCAACTTCCACCATTCCGCGTCTCATTCCGCCCATCATTTCGCCTCTCTAACCGCCATCTAACGCCATTCCGCCACTAATTCCGCCATCTACCGCCATTCCGCCACTAATTCCGCCATCTACCGCCATTCCGCCAATAATTCCGCCATCCACCGCCATTCCGCCACTAATTCCGCCATCTACCGCCATTCCGCCAAAAATTCCGCCATCCACCGCCATTCCGCCACTAATTCCGCCATATACCACCATTCCGCCACTAATTCCGCATGGAATAAAACCGCAAATCCGTCGAGCTCACCTACTAAAGGCAGGGGAGGAGTGCGAGGCAACCCGGAATGGGGTATCACGATGCAGAATGTAAACGAAGTGATGTGGAGCGGGACTCAAAGAAGTGGGTTGTCTAAGTGCATAATGAGGTTCTTGGTGAATGACCTATGAGGACTTCTCTGTGATAGTATACGCTAGGACACGCGATAGTAAAGCGTAAAACACTTGAACGGGTGCAGGAACTACGCTCCTTGTGAGAATGGTAGAGTTGGGTGTCTCATATTTCCGACCCCTGTAAAATGCTTGGTCTGCACACGGGAGAGTGCGACACTCTGTTGTCGCAGCCTGTGGTTTCGTCGCGCAGGTGTGTCTCCCAGCCTGGTTTGGCGAAACCATACACTGAGTCACCCCACGTTGTTTGTACTGTACATTTGGTTTGCGGGGCCGATCCACACCCAACCAACCTTCCCAAACCTAACCCTTGCTTGGGGGTGTTATGCGACAAAACAGGCTGTTACCGGATCCCAAGCGTTTAACACTTGGTTGGAACGAAAAAATATGAGACGCGAGCTTTAAGGTCGCCACGGATTGCTCGCTCATTCGATAAGAAAAAGCTGTATTAAAATCGGGTTTCCAGACTTTGGGACAATATATTCCCACACATTTGAGCGTTATAACGGATTTGTTAATGTTCTAGTAAGTGTAGCGGATGTTGGAGTTCGATGTAAAAAAGTGGATGAAAGGGGTATGGCTTGCAGACTCGTTAGAGCACTCGCAAAATGACTCACGAAACAGTACATGGAAGTTGCATAGACTATATTGTCAAGCGAAACTCGCAAACGTGGAGGAGGAGGTAACGGGAAATACTTGTTCGCAGCGACAATTCATACACTCATAGTAGACCCTCTTGTTTAGGTTCACTTGGGGTTGACCCAACCTAGAACTAGTTACAGTCTGATCGCGTGCTGATCGAATCGCAGACCCACCCTGCGACGGCCGTCGCTTCCTTCCAACCATGCCGAAGGTTGATCGCGGCGAAATCGTCGCATGCCCGCCTGTGCGACTGCTCACAGGCGACGAGCTCGGCCTACTCAAAGGTACAGCGATTAGCGATCGAACCATCGCGCTGATTTCGTGGCGATTCTCTGCGAGACCAGCTCGCGGAAGTCCTCTCGCCTCTCGCCTCTCGCCTCTCGCCTCTCGCCTCTCGCCTCTCGCCTCTCGTTGCCTTCATCCCTAGTGGAAATGCCGCGCTGTAAGTATTCCAACGTTCGTGCATTTTGCCAACCGAATCGCCTCGTTCCCTTCCTCCCTTCGCACCCCCAGTGGTTTCTCTCGGGCAGAATAAAGGCGCCGCAGCAGGAGGCTCGGCCGGGCCCCGAGCCGGAGCGTCCGGTTCGGCGCAGTCCGAGGTGGTTAGGTTCGGCGAAGCGGATAAGGGTCGTTCAGTAGTGTGCTCGTCGGCGTGTGTGGCGGTAGACGAGCGATCGTCGGTGAGTGAGTGTGGGCGAGGGATCTAGGTTTAAGGGCTTAAACGGCCGAAGGGCTTAAGGCGGGTTCTAACAGTCCTTTAAATCCGGCATGAGCTGTCGTGGACGTGAAGTTAGGATAGTCTTGCGCGGAGCTTACAGCATCGGGGTTTAAGCTCTTCTCAAAGCACTTGTTTTGGCATTGGCTTGAGTGGGAAAGCAAGTGGTTCTGATCTGACGCATCAAGCAGGTGTGACAGGACGGACCAACGCTCAGAGGTTTAGGGTGTTACAATCCGTTGGAGCAGCTTTCCCCTCCACCCTCCCTCCCACCCCTTTAATTCCGTAAGCAGTCAAATCGTTTTCAGTTAGACGGCGTTCTTCAAGAATATGTTACTCAATATGAATCTTGTCATTACATGATGAAATGAAATGCGACTTCCTTTTCTTTCCTTCCGTTTCTTCTTCTGTGTGGATGGGCAGATCGTGGCAGTCGCCCGAAAGCATGGCATGGTGGGTTGGGGGTTTCAGGGTGGGCATGACATGGCACGTTAAGGGTTCGGGGTTTTAGGGGAGGCAGGGCAGGCAGGGCTGGTTGAAGGTTTTCTTTCCATCCCTCGATGTGCGGATTGGCAGATTGTGGCAGATGGCATGGTGGGTTGGGGGTTGTAGAAAAGGCATGGCAGAGCAGCTTGGGGTTTTAGGGAACGCAGGGCAGGGAAGTTTTTTGGGGGTGAGGGCAAGCTTGGAATTTGCATGCATTGCTGCTCGAGGGGATGCACAATGATTCAGCAAAGCACACTTTGCCTCGCTCTTGCTGATGATTCCTTTCCCGCATCGCTTTCTCTCCCCTCCGCTACCACTGCCTCCTGTTTTCCGTACGTTTTCACATGCTTCTTTCCTCCCCCACTCAATGCCCACCTTTTTCCTTGCCACTTCTCTCTATCCCCACACCGTCCTTCCGTTTCCTATACCCCCGCACCTTTATTCAGGTTGACGTGTTGCTGCTTTCAACACCCGCTCCACCCGCAGTAGAAGCACCAGAAGCAGCAGCAGCAGCAGGTGAGGCAGCAGGGGGAGGGGAAGGCGCCAGCGCCGCCCCTCCTCCAGCCAGCACCGCTCCCCAGGTCCGACTGCTTCTCTCCTTCCCCGCCTGGCAGGGCTGCCTGCAGGGCGAGGGGTGCGCAGCGGTGCAGAGCGGTAGCCAATGCAGGGAGGGGGATGGGGGGGAAAGGGATGGGGACGCGGGGCAGGGGAGCGAGGAGGGCAGGGAGGCAGGAGGGTTAGGAGGAGAGGGGCAGAGGGGTTTATCAGAGGGGGCGTGGGGTTTGGCGGATCCTAGTTTGGATGGAGCGTGCTGCTCGCTCTCCCTCATTCCCCACCGGCCCAGTGCTGCTGATGTCACACCAGGAGAAGAGAGGGAGCAAGGAGAGCAGGGGAAGCATGGGGAGCAGGGGGAGGAGGAGGAGGAGGAGGAGGAGGAGGAGGAGGAGGAGGAGGAGGAGGAGGAGGAGGAGGAGGAGCAGGGCGAGCAGGCGGGCAGGCAGGCGTGGATGCTCGTATCTGTGTCACACAATGGGCTGGTCTGCTTGCGTGAGGTGGCGCTGGTGCCTAAGGGGGGTAGAGGGGAGCCTGAGAGGGTGGGGGGGGAGAGGGGGAGTGGGAGGGATGAAGAGTTGGAGGAAGGGGAGGAGTTGGAGGAAGGGGAGGAGGTGAGTGAGGGAGAGGAGGAGGGGGAAGAGGGGCAAGATGAGGGTGCGGAATGGGCGGCAGAGCAGCGGCTGGTGCGGCGGTTTGTGGCGATTGCACCGCGTAAGCCTTCAAAGAGGAAGAGAAAGCGGCAGGGCGGTGGTGAGAGTGACGTGGGTGGCGATTCAGGGGCAGGAGGGGGCTCAGGTGATGTGACTGCTGCTGCTGGTGCTGCCAATGGTGGTGGTGCTGCTTCTGCCAGCAGTGCAGGTGGTGTGGGTGCAACAGCAGGGGGAGCAGAGAGGCCTCGTCTGCTCTGTGCTGCTGTGGACCCCACTGGAGCCACCGTGGCTGTTGGCGGGTCAGTGCTCTCGCCTCCTTCCTTCCCCTTCCCCTCCCATTATCCTCCTCACTCCCTCGCCTGCTTTGTACTGCTGTGGATCCCAGCACAGAGCTGCATCGCCAGATATGCCACTTGCTATTGCCAAATACGCTGCTCGTCTCCCCTCGTCTCTCCTCCCTTACCGCCCTCCTTTACTCCTCGTTTCACTTCTCTCTTCGTCCCGGCATCGCCTTGCTTCCAAATTGCTACCTGCTGTCTTGGTTCATCTCTTTTCCTCCAGCGCTTCTCCCCTTCTCGTTTCTTCCATTACCGAGTCTCCACTCCATTCCGGCGTCACACCCTAATCCCCCTTCTTTCCTCCTCCCTACCCCCTCATGCACTGTCATCATATCAATATCGCACTTCACTGTGTCATTTACTGCCCGCCAGGAAGGAAGCAGACCTGACAGTGTGGGACCTTCAGACGGGCGCACTGAAATGGGAGGCTAAACTGGTGGGTGTACTTGTGACTTGCCTCTCGCTGCCTGCCACCCTCCATTCCTTTTAAGTCAACTCAAAGTGACTTATGAGTCTTGACCAAAAGCCACCTTCAGATGGGCACGCTCAGATGGGAAGCCAATCCGGTGGTTGCATTCGCCTCTGGCTTCCTCCCTCCGCTTCCCTCTTTCGTTACTTTTCCCTTCCTTGCACTGCCTCTGCTTCTCTTTCCGCTCCCAAGCCCATATGGCTGTGGTGGCCTGGCCTTCCTTCCCTCCCCGCTCAACTTCCTGCTCACATTTCCGCCTTTTATTCCCACCCTCCATTTTGAGGCGCCTCTTAAAGCGACGGTGCACATTTGCCACCCAAAACCCAGAACCCTGGCGAACTGTTACTGCGGATGGAAAGTGTCCGCACGAAATCCTGGTTTTCGCCAGCCAGCACTTTCGCGCTGGCAAGCCTGGTTAAAAAAAAAAACTTCTGAACCCAACACTGCCAAAAGTTGCCCGTCGCTTTAAATAGTTCCTGCACACATTTCCACCTTTTATTCCCACCCTCCATTTTGAGGCGCCTCTAAAATAGTTCCTGCACACATTTCCGCCTTTTATTCCCACCCTCCATTTTGAGGCGCCTCTAAAATAGTTCCTGCACACATTTCCACCTTTTATTCCCACCCTCCATTTTGAGGCGCCTCTAAAATAGTTCCTGCACACATTTCCGCCTTTTATTCCCACCCTCCATTTTGAGGCGCCTCTAAAATAGTTCCTGCACACATTTCCGCCATTTTGAGGCGCCTCTAAAATAGTTCCTGCACACATTTCCGCCTTTTATTCCCACCCTCCATTTTGAGGCGCCTCAAATATAGTTCCTGCACACATTTCCGCCTTTTTGAGGCGCCTCTAAAATAGTTCCTGCACACATTTCCGCCTTTTATTCCCACCCTCCATTTTGAGGCACCTTTTTGAGGCGCCTCAAAAATAGTTCCTGCACACATTTCCGCCTTTTTGAGGCGCCTCAAAAATAGTTCCTGCACACATTTCCGCCTTTTTGAGGCGCCTCAAAAATAGTTCCTGCACACGTTTCCGCCTTTTTGAGGCGCCTCAAAAATAGTTCCTGCACACATTTCCGCCTTTTATTCCCACCCTCCATCCCTCACCCGTTCTGCACCTCCTCCTCCCAGCCGCTCCTGAGTCTTTACGGAGTGTTGGCCTCCCTTCACTCCTCCCTCATTATTTTGCACACTCATTCCCCCCACAACCCCCCTTGCCCCTCCTCACGACAACTCCTCCCCTTCTCCCCCCCCCCAAACCCTCCAGGCAGCTCCTCCAAAGGCCGTGTGGTGTGGTGGCGCCAAAGCACCCAAGGCTCCCTTCTCTCCTCCCACATAATCTGCCCCCTCGCCTCTCCCGTCTCCCCTCTCGTCCAAGGCTCCCTTCTCTCCTCCCACATAATCTGCCCCCTCGCCTCTCCCCTCTCCCCTCTCGTCCAAGGCTCCCTTCTCTCCTCCCACATAATCTGCCCCCTCGCCTCTCCCCTCTCCCCTCTTGCCTCTCCCCTCCCCCCTCTCGCCTCTCAACTCCCCCAGCCCCTCCCGAGCCCATATGGTGCGGTGGTGCCGAAGCACCTAAGCCTCCCTGCTCTCCTCTCTCAATCCTCTGCTCGCCTCCCCGCACTCCCAATCCTGCTGCACAACCCCCCCTCTGCACAACCTACCCCCCCCAGCCTCTCCCGAGCCCATACGGTGTGGTGGCGCCGAAGCACGTGACAGCGGTGTGCCACGTCAGCGCATGCCACCCGTCACGCCTCGTCACCGCCTGCCAGGACAACTCGTTGCGAATCTTCGACCTTCTTTTGCAGCCGCGCCCCCTGAAAGTTGTTTCTCTGGGCACCGTGCCCGTCCGCTCGCTTGCTGCTGTATGGAGCAAGGGTGGTGGGGAGGAGTGCAGTGCGGTGACAGTCGGAACGGGCATGGGGGAGATGAAGCTGGTGGATTTGACACACGGTGAGCGAGTGGCTGTGGTGGGATGCGGTGCTACCAGGTGCTATGAGGTGCTAGCAGGTGCTGCTATACCAAGCACTGCAGTGAGTGCAGTTCAGATCAACGCGATTCAGTGATGTCTAAAGGTGTGGCCAGGAGAAGCGCAAGCAGGAATGATGCCTCACACAAGGCAGGTGTGAAAGAGAGTTGCGGTGGAGAATTGATGGTTCTCGCTTGTCCTGCACCTGTCGCTAGGCATGGGCAATGGGCGAGTTGAGTTTGTCCTGCACCTGTCGCTGCTCGTCTTTCTCTATCCAATCCAACCATGCTCTGTCACCACCGTGACCTGCTGCAGCAGCCTGTACTGTGCTCTGATTGGTTGGCAGCAGCACTGGCATCGCACTGACCTGCTTCCTCTGTCTGCACTCGCATTGGTCAGCACCTCAATTCAGAAGGACATCGTGTGTGATAAGTCGAGTTTTGAGTCAACTCAAAACTCGACTTATCACAGAAGGACATATCGGTGAACTTTGGCTCGTTGTAAGAGTCTCCTCCCCTCCTCTCCGCTCCCATTCCCCCCTCTACCCCCCTCTCCCCTCCTCCACCTTCCCCTCCCCTACCTTCCCCTCCCATCACTCCTGTCCCTCTCCCCTGGCCTTGCCTCCCCTCTCCGCCACGACTCCCTTCCTCTGATCCCCCTTGCGCACACCACGTGCACGCCGCAGGTCGCATCGCTGGAGTATTCAAGGGCGAGTGTGCGGGCTCCATTCGTTCCCTCGCCATGCAACCATCGCTGCCCCTCGTGGCCTCATGTGGTATGTGTGCTGTGTTATGCCACACCCTTGCTTTGTGCATTCTGCATACTCTACCCACAAACTCTCTACCCACAAACTCTGTTGAGCTTGCTTGATCAGTATGCATGAAGAACATAAGGAGTTCAATTATTGTTTGGAGATTCCTGACCTCCCTGCTGCCTGTCTCTCCTTTCCACTCTCTCGCTCCATCCCCACCGCTCCCCATCTCCTCCTACCTGCACCGCCATCTGCACATCTAACGCCTGCACAGCACACCATGCGCAGCTCAAACCCTTTCTTTTCTGCCTACCTCGTTCACTCGTGCCAGCCCTACCTGTGTCAACCCTACCCCCCTCCACCATGCCTGCACATCCACCACCGCTAGTTCAATCCCCTCCGCCATTCCAACTCTCTGCTGCCTGCCTGCACTCTCTTTTCAACGCCACCAACCGTCCACCAGGCCTGGACCGCTCTCTCTGCATCCACCACCGGCACTTTGTCTGCCGCCTGCCTACCTCTATCTCCCCACCCCTCCACCAGGCCTCGACCGTTACCTCTGCATGCACCACCTGCAACTACCTAATCCCCAACCCCACTCCCCTCCACCAACCCTATAGCCTGCCTCTCTCCACTTGCCCACCCCTCCAGCAGCTCTAAACCACTACTTGCGCATTCACCACCTGCACTCTCGCCTTATCCCCAACCCCACCCTTCACCACCTGCACTCTCGCCTTATCCCCAACCCCACCCTTCACCACCCCCACTCTTCCTGCCTCTCTCCTCTCCTGTCGTCCCCCCATTCCCCACCCTGCCACCAGGTCTTGACCGCTACCTGCGCATACACCACCTGCACTCTTGCCGCCTTGTCGCCAAGGTAGGAATGCCGTGCTGGAGGGTTTGTTTCGGGGGCATATGTGGTGGTGGGGCTGAATCCCTGTGGACACCTTTTGTGACAAATACAAACGGGTTGGTTGGGGTGCACATGTACTTATGTTGAGGGCACACATGTACTTATCTTGAGGGCGCACATGTACTTATGTTGAGGGCGCACATGTACTTATGTTGAGGGCGCGCATGTACTTATGTTGAGGGCGCACATGTACTTATGTTGAGGGCGCACATGTACTTATGTTGAGGTCGCACATGTACCGGGGCGGAATCCTCGTGGTGTGAGGCGCCTCAGAAGACAAGTTCTGAGGTGCCTCAAACCTCGTTGGCGGAGTGTTTAGTTGGGGTGCATTGATGGAAGGGCTGAATCCCCATGGGCATCTGGAACACGGAGACACAAGCTTGCCATGACCATGTTGCTCCCCTATGCCAAATCTTACCCAGGTTTTTTTTTTTTTTTTTTTTTTTTTTTTTTTTTTTTTTTTTTTTTTTTTTTTCCCTTCTTAAGGATTGACTTTCCCTGCTTGCCACTCCCTATCTCTCCTTCCTCCTGTCCCCTCCTCCTGTCCCCTCCTCCTGTCCCCTCCTCCTGTCCCCTCCTCCTGTCCCCTCCTCCTGTCCCCTCCTCCTGTCCCCTCCTCCTGTCCCCTCCTCCTGTCCCCTCCTCCTGTCCCCTCCTCCTGTCCCCTCCTCCTGTCCCCTCCTCCCTCCTGTCCCCTCCTCCTGTCCCCTCCTCCTGTCCCCTCCTCCTGTCCCCTCCTCCTGTCCCCTCCTCCCTCCTGTCCCCTCCTCCTGTCCCCTCCTCCTGTCCCCTCCTCCTGTCCCCTCCTCCTGTCCCCTCCTCCTGTCCCCTCCTCCTGTCCCCTCCTCCCTCCTGTCCCCTCCTCCTGTCCCCTCCTCCTGTCCCCTCCTCCTGTCCCCTCCTCCTGTCCCCTCCTCCCTCCTGTCCCCTCCTCCTGTCCCCTCCTCCTGTCCCCTCCTCCTGTCCCCTCCTCCTGTCCCCTCCTCCTGTCCCCTCCTCCTGTCCCCTCCTCCTGTCCCCCTCCTCCTGTCCCCTCCTCCTGTCCCCTCCTCCTGTCCCCTCCTCCTGTCCCCTCCTCCTGTCCCCTCCTCCTGTCCCCTCCTCCTGTCCCCTCCTCCTGTCCCCTCCTCCTGTCCCCTCCTCCTGTCCCCTCCTCCTGTCCCCTCCTCCTGTCCCCTCCTCCTGTCCCCTCCTCCTGTCCCCTCCTCCTGTCCCCTCCTCCTGTCCCCTCCTCCTGTCCCCTCCTCCTGTCCCCTCCTCCTGTCCCCTCCTCCTGCCTCTCCTCACCTTGTCTTCCTTCATTGCCCTCTCCAGGTGTTCCTCAAGCAACCACTCAACTTTCTCTGCTTCCTGCCAGAAGGGGCAGCCACTGGGGTAGCTGCATCAGGTGAGGAAGCAGGTTGTGAGTTCAGGTGAGGCAAGAGGTGGTTCGGCCTGGTTAAGCAGCATGTGAGGCTGTTGCGTGAGAGTCTCTTGCGTTAGTGTGTGTTTCTGCGTGGATATGTGGCCTTTCTATGGGTGCGGTGGGCGTGTTTTCTCTTCCCAAGTATTTCCCAGCATCAACAGAGCCGTGGCTTCTGTTGTGTGTATTTTCAGTCATAACCACTCATTCGCTCATCTGCTCAAGTCCTCCCATGCATATTCTCCATTCACCCCCTTTTAATTGCATTTCTACAGGCTCCACAGGCTCGAAGCGCAAGCTCACAGATGTGACTATAGCAGGTGGAGATACAGAAGTAGCAGTGGAAACACCAGCAGAGGCAGCAGGGGCAGCAGCAACAGGAAGATCCCAGCACACACCAGCACAGGGTTGGGAGAGTAAGGCTGTGGCAGCTGGCAGCAGTGCACGAGGCAGCGGGTCTGGAAGGTTGCCAAGCAGGGCTGTTAGGAAGGTTGTGAGTGGTGCTGGTGGCGGCAAGCGCAGCAAGCAGGCAGCTTGATGGGTGGGGTGATGGAAGGTACCGTAATCTCCTTCCAGTTTGATATGATTAAACCAAACGAAGATTCTCAAATATATCGGCAAGAAGGTTTGATCTTCAAACGCTTACACAGTGCATAACAACAGGCGTACATTAGTTTTCATCTTGGAATGGAAAATGGGGGCGTGAAAACTTCGAAATCAGTGCCATTTTGCGTGACTACTAGTTACCGGTACCATTCGCGTGAATATTTATCAGTATTGAGTTGCTGTTACGGGTGCAATGGAACGAGATGGCGAGGATTGCAGCAGGTGTCAAACGAGTACAAAGTACGAGCGAAGGCATGAGAGAATACTTATGTGCGAAAACATGCAACGGTTACGCGGTGCGCGCGAGCTAGGTAGTGCTAGGCTGGCATCGAGGTTCGGGCTAGTCCCGAAGCGTAGGCCGATTCGGCCAGGCCAGCGGTGCATGGTTTGGTAAATAAGTGCGCGCGAAGTTGGCGAAGCCCCGTTTGTTGGTGTTGAGATAATATCGAGACTTAAGCACTTCAAGGATATTCGTGTAGTACAGTAAAGTACCGATAGGCTGACGTCAGCAAAGCGCTACGCGCCCTAGGATGACGTCAGCACGTAGCTATAGACCTCGCGAAAAGTTACGTACCGTTTCAGAACAAGAAAAGCACAGTACAGTAGGCGAACAGGTACTTTACTCTAGTTATATATTTTGTATGTTTGTCATTTTATAATATATCTGATTTCAGAGACATTGATCCTGAAACGTATCACTACATGGGTTTTTATTAAGTCCAGACAAAGCTTTCATAACAGGCTTTAACTCATATAAGACTTCCGCTACGACAGGAAACTATCTTCCTAAGTAGTACGATCCTATTCAATCACTTCAAATTCTAACATGGTATTGCGAGCGTCTTAGGATACTACAAGCTTCCAACTACATACTCTACAACTATGTCTGGATCTCCACGGTCCAACAACGGCTCTTCTGTTACGAGCCCATCACGCCCAACAGCGTCTCCAGCTGCTGACAATTCACATCTGCAGCAACAACATCAACAACAACAATATCAACAACAACCGATGTACGGCATGCCACTGAGCAATCAGCCTGTACACACAACTGCAGCAGCGTCATCATCGACAGCAGCCGCAGCATCAGCAGCCACAACAGCTGCAACTGCAGTCACTGGTTCTTTTAGTCAACCAGGACAACAGTCCAGTTTCGTACCAACTGGACCTTATCAATATCAAGGTGCTTACCAGCCAACGAATCTTCAACAGCGTGTCAATGCTGCCGTCTTGTCACTTAACCAAATGTTTCCAACTCCTATGAGCCTTGATGGCTCCAGTTATCAGCATGGCCAGATGCCACAGGGAAGTGACGGGTCGAATAACTCCTTCTCTTTCGTTCCTGCTGGACAAGGACAACAAGCACCACAAGGGTCACAGATGCCATCACTTTATCAGCTACAATCAGCTGACGGTACCGGAAACTATCTTCCCGCTTCTGCAAACCCAACAAAAATTAAAACGACTGTGCCTTTTAACGGTCAAGACTTCTATACCCGGAGCTTTGAATTTGAGCTTCTTGTTCAGACCGCGGGGTTCTGGCAGTTGTTCGACGGCACAGCACCCTTTCCTTCTCACGCGTCACCACTTCAACAGGCCACTTTTCGATCGACGTCACTGACTGCATACACAGTTCTCGTTCGCAATCTGACACCGACTGAACAGCTTGGCATTCGTCCTTTTCGTACCAGTGCCGCTCCCGCTGAAGCAGCTTGGTTATACATGCAAGGGGTTCACATGGCAAAGGACACTGTCAACCAGAGTAAAATTTTGACGCAGCTGTCAAATATACAGATGATAAACGGCGAGAAGGTGACGCAGTATATCAACCGCGCTCGAAATATGCGTGATCAACTTCAGAAGTGTGGAGGGTACTTCCCCGACGCTATGTTTCACACGGTGCTACTCGCGGGTCTTGGACCAGAATGGCGACAGTGTCGCTCTATTCTTCGGATGCAAGCACAGTTGTCCGAGGGGGCACTCTGTGCCGCTCTCATTGCCGAGCAGCAGGATATGGACCTGCACAACGCTCGAGGAGGGAAAAAGGTGGTAAACAACACAGTCAGTTTTTACTCTAATCCACGTCACAAACCCGTTTGTTCCTTTTGTCGCAAAGCAGGACATACTATTGATACTTGCTGGTAAAAAGATAAACCATCTTGGATGCGGACTACACCGAAACATCCCAAAGATTCTTCAGGTGAAGCTGAGAAGCAGGAAGCTGAGAAGCAGGCAGCTGAGAAGCATGAAGCTGTGAAGCAGAATACTGCGAAGCCGAACTCTGCGAAGCCGCCTAATACACCTGCCAAGACACAAGCGAAAGAAGTTATTAATTGTATGACGTCAGTTTCTACAGTCTACGATCCTGACGCTGAGGAACGTATTCACAATAACTTCAATGATGAACTCAACACGCCCATACCACCCGAGGTCTACGCCAACCTTGCACATACCTTGGAAGGTCCCAACACTTGGTATCTTGACAGTTGTTGCGGGCAGCATATGTGTTCATCAGAAAATCGCTTCGTCATCAATCAGCGTCGTCTTCAGAATCCGTGCGTTGTAACCGTCGCCAACAACCAACGTCTTACAGCACACTGGATGGGTAACATCATTCTTGATTCTGTTGAAGAAGACTTCAGTCTTCATCTTAACGATGTACTCCTCGTTCCTCGACTTGGCTTCAATCTGATGTCATCAGCACAGCTCATGAGGAATGGCATTACTCTTCTTGGTGAACCGGGCAAGTTTACTTTAAAGTATGGAGACAGGAAACTCGGCACGGCGATTGAACAAAACGGTGTATTTGTTCTCAACTTCGTACCTGAACGCACCACTGCCGACTCCGAGAATATTCTCTCTCTTGGCCCATGGGAACATCGTGACGACATCGATTACACCGATGATACCGTTCCTCGTGATGGAGTTGTACCCAGATCTTCAACCACGGCTGCCGCTGTCATGCTGACCTTCGATAACCAAGGCTTAAACGACGTCCAAAACTCCCGCGATTATCTTGCGCACGTTGCTGGTTGGGGAGATACGACGAATATGCCCACGGGTGAAGGCACTTGGGGGGCACAGGAACCTGACGAGACTACTTGGGGAGAAACACCTGCTGATCGTGACCAATGTCTTCTCACAGAAGCAGAACAGCGTGTCGCTGACATGGACGTTCTCGACTCCGGACGACTTGTCGGTGTTGAACCTAAACCTGCAGCATCAGATCAAGAGAGCGGGGAATTAGTTCTTTCACCAGGCGAATCCATCGACGTTGAAATCAAAATTCCACCACTTAACCTTACCAGGTTTATTCCGCCTGTCACAGATCATGTTCACGCTGACGGTCATCGGTTGCTGTTGTCTTTCTTCGCTAACGCCGACTATTATCTGCGCGCACAGGGACACAAAGCAACTGCAGACATCTGGCATAAGCGTCTTGGTCATCCGTCGCAGTCTACGCTCAACAACACAATCAAAGCAGCTGTTCTTGACAAGAATTCTCTTCTCTTACCTGGCGGCCTCGAAATGAAACCGGTTAATCGTCCATCACCCTGCTTGATCTGCCCAGCAGCAAATCTACCGCACGAACCATACCCGACTCATTTTCCTGGCGCTGAGGATTATCGTTTGATGGAAAAAGTTTACAGCGATATTCTAAACTTACCTGCGGAAGGTTTCAACGGCGAGAAATACGTTATCACGTTCACTGAAGCTTCTACTCAATATATGTCTGGACTGGTAACATGACTAACCGTTTTCTTGCTTTCACAGCGTTTCAGACATGGCTACCTCTCGCAGAACGTGAGTCCGACACAAAACTCAAAAGCTTCCAGTGTGACGGAGCTGGGGAATATCGCAGCCTCGAGTTTACAGCGTACCTGCAAGAACGAGGCATACGGCGCCTGTTCTCCCTTCCTCACGCTCACCAGCAGAGCGGTGTAGCTGAACGCCTCAATCGTACTTTGCAAGAAAAGATGCGAGCACTACTCGCACAGTCCCAACTCGGCCCCCTCTACTGGCCCTTCGCGATGGACCACGCAACGCTGTTGCACAACCTCCTATCTTCATCGGCTTTACCCATCAACGCATCACCTCACTTATTGTGGACAGGAAAATTGGGCACTACGAAACTTCTTCGAGTTTTTGGGTGTGTTGTGCAATATCGTCCTCCCACCGCTCCGCTCGGAAAGTTCGATCAACGTGCTAAGTGGGGTCTTCATCTCGGCCTTGAGAAGCAGTTTTCTGCATGGCGTATTCTGGATTATCGCAGTCGACTTTTAATTCCTGCCCGCGACTGTATTTTCTTCGAAAATCTGACACTTCCTGTCTTCGAACAGTACCTCGCCACGCAGCGTGACCCTGCTACACTTTTCCAC